CTTCAGGAGCAAATCGAGGCGTGCATTTAATATAGAGAATATTTATGTAGCTTATCTTCAATTTTAACCNCCGGGTACCGAAGTGATAAGCTTCTTCAGGAAGCTTATTTCCAATGGAGTACTAAATAGATAAATATATTTACGGTGGAGTCCCATATGGATAAGCTTCTTCAGGAAGATTATTTATAACGGAGTACTAAATAAACATCCATAATATAATATATTTATAACAAGCCGCAACTTCTTTTGGAAAGAACACTAAAAAGACAAATGCTTGGGCCCCAAGAAAATGACACCTAAGGTAAATTAAAAACGTATCTAATCAGATAGTGTGTTAAGATCAAAATCAGCCTACATAGTCGTAAACGTGCCACGTAATTATCTGTTTCCTCAACCATAGGGTATTAACTGACTAACTTAATCCCCAAGGAAAACGAAAAACCAAACGCACGCCTTTATTTATATTTGTCTTTTTCTCAAATTCTTAAAGAAAGATTTGTAATCCTAGTTTGATAAGGAAAAGGATTTGGGCTACGAGAAAAAAGAGAACTGAAATATTTATTTTATGGAGACGACAATCTCCCCTAGCAAAACCAAGGCTTTTATCAATTTGCTTTTGACACTGAATGTCCTCTCACAATTTCCAAAGGTGATTTTCTTCTTTTTTATCCTTTTCCTATGTCCTGATGGAAACTTTATATGAATTCTATGTCTCACTTTTAAATGAAATTTATGTCTTTGTATTATATGTAGTCCAAGTCCTTAAGCTTATTGGTTTTCAATTGTCATTTCTTGAAAATTTCATTGTTATTGCGTCATGATAACTTATAAATTCCCATGCAAGAAAGGCTTTTGGTAATTCTTTACTATAGTAGGATTTGAGTTCCTTGTCCAATTTGGTCTTCAAGAAGTTCAAATCTTATAAAAGTTATGCAATAAAGGGTTCTTGTATAATTTTTTGCCTACTTTAACAAGAATCTTGGGTAGTACCAGTAATTTATTTTGCGAAAAGGGAAGAACGGTTTCGTAATCTTTACTTGTTTTATTAATTAATTAATGAATTTTTGTGGAAACAGGAGAATGAGAAGAAGGCGTAACGGATCAGCTTCAATAGAGGAGACTTTGTCAATGTGGAAAAATCAAAAGCAAGAGCTTAATGCTACTTTAGATGGCGGGATAAAGAAAAAAACAAGAAATTTTCCTGCTAAAGGTTCTAAAAAAGGTTGTATGAGAGGTAAAGGTGGACCAGAGAATTTAGGGTGTAAATACAGAGGTGTTAGGCAAAGAACTTGGGGAAAGTGGGTTGCTGAAATTAGAGAACCTGTTTATAATAGTAATGGAAAGAGACTTTGGCTTGGTACTTTTTCTACAGCTGTTGAAGCTGCTATTGCTTATGATGAGGCTGCTAAGGTTATGTATGGCCAGAATGCTATACTTAACTTCCCTGATTATTCTGTACAGAATTCAGAATTGGCTAATTACTCGACGAGTGTTTCTATTGCGCGAACGGCTTCATTGGAATCGAGTGAATCGTCTGTTGAAGATTCAAGAATTGAACCTGATTTACAAATATCACATACACCAGATGATGGTGTGGTTGCAATTACAGATGGAAAAACTATTTTGGATGATCCAACGAATTTATGTTCCGATGGTAGAGCTGATGGGGATCCAAGGGCACAACAGGATTCTTCTGTTTGTTGCTTGAATATGGAATCAGTAGTAATGGAAGTGGACGATTCTTTAGACGATATAAAAGGTTTGAATTGCAGCACAAGAATTGATTCAGAGCCAATTCTCGAGCCTGCAAGTTCTTGTGTTAAAGTTCAGACACCCTCGGACAATGACTTCGTGCAAGATAGACGTTTGGAATGCGTAGATGATGCTAACAAGGTGTCAAATAGTAAGCACATATTACACCATGAAATCACTGATGTGAAGCCAAATGACAGCATATTTCAACATCATGATGTTTTGATACAAAATGAGAATTATGAATCTGGTGACCAAGTATTATTGCCTTGTGATCCCATTGCTCTAACGGACTATGATTGCTTAGTAAATGCATTGCAAGAACAACCATTGGATTTCAGGTCATCTGATAATACGAGTGCATATATTCGTAGTCATCTAGAATACGCGGAGTACTTATTAATGGAAGACAATAACACAACTGAAGCAACAACTGTATCAGATACATTTTGGTTAAATGAGAATATCAACCTTCAGTCTTTCTTAGACGAATCATTCGATGTAAACAATTTGAAGAATGAGGAGCTACCCGATAATTATAACTACGACCAGCAAATCAATCTGCTGAAGTCTCGGACAAATGCTGAAGTTCATTCAGATGGAGTTATAAGTAAAGGAGGTGAATCCAATGAGCTGTGCATCAATATTCCTGGACATGAGGACCATGGAACAGAGGTTAATATGGAAGATTTGTACATTCTGAATTCTCATTTTGATATCTCAAGCTTTTTAGGTGATAATTTTTAACGTCGAAAAAAGTGACCGATACTTTTAGGCATTGTTAGTATGTCCAAACTAGAGATAGGAAGTTTATAGGTTGAGCTCATATCTCTGAAAAATATGCATTTAGTCCATAGAAAGATATATAGATACGTGTTATGCAACTACAGTATTATTTCATCTTCCTATTATAAAAAGAAAATACATACTTACGGTGAAAAAACAAAAGAACTTACTGTCCTTACACCTCTTATTGTTCATTTGGATGTCTCTGCTGTTGCATTATTGAAAAGCTATCTTCTTTTGCATCACATTATTTCTTTGCTTTAGGATGGTTAGAATTATCAGCATCAGCTAAGAACATTAGCATATTCATGAATATTATTGGAAATACCAAAGTATATCAACGTAAATTTGAAACTATGTTATATGGATAATGTCTGTCATACTTCAACACCAAGTATATCTACTAACATTGCACAACCACCAACACCAGCTTGAACAATTACTCATTTTGGCATAGACGAATTCAGGAATTGAACTTTATGAGTTCAGATCAGATTTTTATCATACGCCGCCTAATTTATTTAATTCGAGTAATGAATTTTTAACACAGAGGGGGAGCCTTGAAGTAACTGATAAAGTTGCGCCATGTGACGAGGAGGTCACGGTTCAAGCGGTGGAAACAACCTCTTGCAGAAACCAAAACTACTGGATCAGGCTTGGTGCATCAGGATGCCCTTTAATGAATTTTTAACACATAAATAACGACTAAACCAAAATTACTGGATTTGGATGAACCTGCACCTCTGTCGCTAGACAGGCTTAATTCGGGCCTCTGGTTCAGGAGAGGGTGGAGTGGGTACAAATGATTGTTCCCAGGCCAGGAATTACTAGTATTTAATAGGATTCACGAAAATTTAATGAAAGGAAGGAGTCAGTTATGATGAGATTTATCTTGAAACTGTACAAATGTTTCGATAATGTAACAATTTTGAGTTGATACTCATACATTTCATGCTGATTTGCATATCTAGGGAACTATAACGTCAGTATTTTACAATTAATAGTTCACGTGGAGGTTCAGTAGATGGAATTCAATGGAATACAAACTTTCAGTTTTTTATTCACATCCACTTCCCAAGGAAAAGAAAATATACTTTCTTTATCCTAATGTAAACAAGGAACATTTGTACAAGTCGAATAGCAATTTCAGGTGGCAAAAATCAACCCATTTTAATATAACCCGATCGGTCCAAATTTAAACGGGCTGTTTCATATCTTATTTGTCGACTTTGACTCAATAGATTGAACTCAAATAACTTATCAAATTATTGGGAAAAGCTAGTACAACCCAATATTTTAAAAGGCGTTTTCGGGGCGAGCCTCAAGGCAAGGCGCACCAAAAATGCCCTGAGACGATGATGTGGGGAGAAAGTCTCAAGAGGCGTACGTCCAGCAATTCGGGACGTACGCCCGGGCGTTCGGGGCGTAGGTCCGGGCGTTCGGGGCATAAGTCCGGGTGTTTGATGCGTGTTTTTGTAATGAGGCGTAAGCCACTCAAATTAAAATAAAATTTGTTGAATAAGTCCTTCATATAATACCTAAATTCTCAAAAGTCGATTTGTAATTACTCAAAAGTTTTAAAAAGAAACTAAAATACATTAGATTTATCAAGACCTCTTTTATTGATTGAAACCTTAATTTATGGTCTTTCCTTATTCTTTATCTTGTCCACTAGTCTGCTAATATCTCCCAAAAGTAATGAATATTCAATTTTTGTTTTGCAAATACAAAGAGAACTTNATATATATATTTCACATATTTATAGTTTTTTTTTCAAATTTTATGCAATTTTATAGGTTTATAAATATTTATTGTAATTATATTATTTTATAAAATATTAAAAATTAAATACTCATGGGACTTACGGGGTGTGCCTCGGGGCTTAAGCTTCGCTGAGGCATATGTAAAACGTCTCGCCTTACGCCCACATCTTTTAAAATACCGGTATAACCTAGTTGGTTAAAATGCAATCTATATCCAAACATACAAAATTAGATTTGAAGGTTAAGAATTGTGTAAATTTAAAAGAATTTAAAGTAATAATTTTTAAAATATACATTAGCTTTCATCTGTTCTCAAAAGCAAAATAAAAAATGAAAAGAGATTGAGTCATGTTAGACAAGGCGACTTATGACCCGACCCATCTTGACTCGATCAAATTTGGATGATACAATAAATGATCATTTTACGTTTGACACACTTATTAAGAAAATACGAACTCCTAGATTAAAAAAAAGATGTATTCATTAAATTAATCTTAATTAATTGTTACCTTAACACATTGGAAGATGTAAATAAGGGAAATTTAACAAAATAAAATTAATTCCTTCTTGGTTATGTAAATGGACACTTATTTTGGATCAAAATAAAAAGATAACATAATCACTTATTGTGGACCGGAGGGAGCAATTAGAGCCATCAAAATTTAGTCCAACTCCCAGTTTGCAACCTCAATATCACTCATCAATGTTTGCAGCATACAAAAGTTTGCAAGACCAAGTAATTTGGGTCTTCCTAGAAAGAGGAAAAATATATTTTCGGCCACTTGCTATTTGTATCTTAGTGGATATCATTCAAAGGCAAACGTGGGAACACAGCTACCTGGAAAGAGGGGAATAAATCTCAGAAATTTGCAAATTATGTCTATTCTTTTTTAATGAAGTGATGTCTAGATAAGTTTTGTTTGTGCATTTCCATTATTCTATAACTACAAATATCGCCCACTAAAGCTTAGGTAGATGAGTTCTGTCTACATTCTTACACAAAAAAAAAAAAAAGGAAAAAAAAAGAAAAAAAAGAAGCACTACTTTATGATAAAAATTGAAAATGAAAATGCGTTAGATCCAGAATCTATTGTCCATCAGCAGAAAAAGAAAAAGAAAAAGAAAGGAAAAGACATATCAAGCCTATGAATATGAGTTACCTGAAAATGGAATTAGGTCCAAGTTATATTCAGAGCTGACAACTCACCCAATATTAGCTTTATTTTGTTTTTTCTTTCCCCAAGGGACTATGCTATAGTTATAGGACTCTGATTATAAACAAGATTCCTTGTACCTGCACAAGAAACAAATATTAAAGCACAAATAATGAATACACAGTTCCGAATCTTAGCACCACAAAAATGATCAGAGAACCTAACAATTATTATTTCATAGCTAGCTGTCATGCCAATGAAATATCATTTCACCAAAAAAAAAAGGGCATATAGAATAAAAATTATCATTAACTGCAATAAGAGTTTCTCTGATAATTTAAGTTTTTTTTGTTAGCTTCCTTTTATTTTAAGCATGTTGTTTGTAAAACCAATTAAGGGTTTTTAGCTAGGATCTTTAAAGTGAGATCCTGAAAGAGAAGCTTATATATTGATAGTTTAAAAAATTTCACTATCAAATCGATATTTGATAATATAAATAATTTTACGTTTTTTATTTAAATTTAAATTCCGGTTTGTTTTTCTCTTCTCTGCCAAACCCAACTCCATCTCATAACAAATTTTTAGAATCGGTTAGGTTTAACATTTAAGATCCTTTGGAACTTCGAGTATTTTATGAGAATATATAGGAGTCACATATGCACAAACATTTGTTCCACACAAATGTGTTAGTTGAATTAATTGAATGCACAAACATTTGTTCCGCACAAAGTTTTCACATATGCAAACAGGGGCGGAACTAAGATTTTAAGTTTATGGGTTCTGAAATCATTATGGAACCATAACTCGTCTTAGTTGTTGAGTTCGTAATTAAATATTTATATATAATTAATGAATTTTTTAATATAAATATTGCGTTTAAGCAAAAATGATTGGGATCGACCGAACTCATACCTAATAAGCTAGCTCTACCTCAGTATGCACACGCCCTGGATAAGTATCATACACTATATACTCTATGAAGTTAAAACAAAAGACTTAACTCTTAAGTTATATATATTGTTGAATATGCAAATTTTGACACTATCAATGTAATTTGTAGGTTTTAGGCTGTGTGACAAAATTAAAAATTCTAAATGCAAGAGTGCTGCAAATTTGAGCTTACGACTTGAAACAATTTTTGAATCACATTTAATTTTCTAGTACACCAAAATCTTCTCTCGTGTTAAGGAAATTCAATAATTTATATCTACATGTACAAATTTATTTTTATTCGATAAAAGGGTTTTAATTGAAACCCTTAACCTTCATAGGCCCGCCCCTGGTTATGACAAGTTATTATCTTAGTTTTTCAGGTTAATATATGAGCTAATGATAAATAGTTACTCCCTCCCATCTACTTTAGTTAATTTTTTAATTATTTTATGACGCATTAAAAAAATCCATCTTTTAGCATTGATTAACAATCAAATTGACCATATTAACCTTAATTTGTTAACTAAAATATAACAAATACTTCTACGCCTTGTACTCCAAGGGCAATTTTGAAAAAAAAAGTTAATTCTTTTTTGATATTTAAAAAAATTAAATATTTTGGACCACAAATAAAAAGCCAAAAAGTCAATTAAAGTGGATCGGAGAAAATGTTGGTGTAAGAAAAAAAATTATATACCCGATCATTACCCTTAACTTAAACTCTAAAACAAAGCGTCGGATATGAAAAAGTTAAGCAAATCAAAGACAACCAGAATCACCATTTACTCTGAGAAACTGAAAGTTGAAGTACACAATGAGTGTAGTAAAGGAGATAATGTAGCATCATGCATTAAAGGTGGACGCGGTGTTGCAACATTGAGTTCATCTAAACTCAATATTTTTGATGCGAAATAATCCACTAAATTGTCACAAATAGCTGCATATTAATGAAACATGATGTGTTTAATGCTAAAAATCTGTAAAATTGAACTCAAGAGTATTAAATTATGGATCCGCCTTTGTATGCATTAAAAAGAGAGCATGAAGAAGCTATGAAACTCAGGATGGATAGCGCTATGGATGGTTAAAACAAGCAATATTGTTATTAAGCTCATGTATAATATTCATCCATGGCGCTATCCCTCCTGAGCTTTACAGATTCTCCCACACATTTCCACAAGGAAAAAAAAACTCCAAAAATTCTCCACTATACTGTATGAAAGGAGAAAAGTAGAGATAAAGGACAATACAAAGATGAATGAATGGTTGGGGGAGTTTTGAAGGAAAGGAGAAGCCTATTTATAGTAGCAAACTAACGTGGGGAAAAACAAATTGACCAAGTTTTTCTGCAACTTGTATGGTATTTGTCTCTATATTGGTCAAGACTATTTATTGATTTTTTCCTCTTGTTATTATTAGTAAGTTATAGATATTGATAGCATAAATAGTTTTTACACTATGAATTCAATTTAATCTAGGTTATTAATTAATCTATATTGGGTATCATCTATGACACGGGATGTACAGTATATATGAAAGACCGAACCCAATAATCTTTTTTACTCAAAAATTATATACTGTGTTTCAAAATTTATTTAAATACGAACAAATATATAATTTGGATCTAATTATTACTAGTATTTGAGGTTGGTGTGTTTGAACCTTACACCTATAAAATTCAAACCCTAAATCTACCTCCAACCTATAACTATAACTGTGTAAAAAATCTAGCCACCATCCGTATGACATAAAATCATTATTATATTATTTGTCAAACCAATAGTACTTAATTACCACTTTTAATGTCTCTGCCGACTACGTTACTTCACCTCACCAATCTTGAAAATAGATACAAATGGATGTACTACGGTTACATCTTTACAAAATGGCTATAGTATTCAGAAATATTTGTCTGCTTTACAAATGGCTATAGTATTCTTCAGTATAACTACTGTATCTGTGCAGGTGTATTTTATTTTTCTTTTCAAA